CGCCCAGAAGGACTGCACTTGGAGCTCAGGGCCTTGCTGAGGCTAGTTAAGGTTACGTGGGTCCTGAGCCACGAGGCTTATGTCCTTGTCCCCCGCCGTCACATGAAGACACAGCAAAAGGGCGGCCGGCTGCAGGCTGGGGAGAGAGCCCCTGCCGGCACCTCCCACCTCCGGCTGCAGCTCCATCTGGGCAGGCTCCCACCTCCAGAGCTGTGAGACGCAGACGTCTGTTGTCTGAGCTGCTGGGTCTGTGCTTTCTTGTGACGGCAGTCCCAGCAGACCGACATGTAAAAAGAAGTCCGGCGTCCATTTCAGCTGAGAAGATTTCACCAGACGTAGGCTGTTCCTTTTTTAAGAAACAGCCTGGCTATGGAAAGGAAGAATTTCACTTCCAAGAGGACCTTCCTGTGTGTTGGGGAACGGGGGGGGATTTTTATTTTTCTTTTTTCAGTTGGGACCTCACTTTGTTGCCAAGCCACCATGCCCGGCTAGTTTTTAAATTTTTTTTTGTAGAGACGGTCTTGCTGTGTTGCTCAGGCTGGTCTTGAACTCCTGGGCTCAAGCAGGTCTCCCACCTCAGCCTCCCAAAGTGCTGGGATGACAGGTGTGAGCCACCACGCTCGGCCTAGTGTATGTTTTTTTGTTTTTTTGTTTTTGAGTTGGAGTCACTCTGTCGCCCAGACTGGAGTGCAGTGGCCTCTCCCGGCCACCGCAGCCTCGCCCTGCTGGGCTCTGGCGATCCTTCTGCCTCAGCCTTCCGAGTACCCGGAATTACAGGCGCGCACTACCACGCCCGGCTGATTTTTTGATTTATTGTAGAGATGAGGTCTCGCTGCCCAGGCGGGTCTCGAACCCGCAGGCTCAGGCAATTCACTCACCTCAGCCTCCCAAAGGCGCGGGATTACAGGCTGAGCCACCGAGCCTGGCTGTGTATGTTTTTTATAAGCAGAGTCAAATCAAATGATTTCTTGCTCCCTGCCTGCAACTCTGCCAGAAATTCTACCCCTTGGGCTGGTTCCTTGCTCTTGCCCGGGGCCTGTATCCCTCCCCAGGGATGATATCCCCCGGCTTGTGTCCATGTGGCCGCAGAGACAGCGCCACTGCGGGCACGCCCGATGGTGTGGGACAGCCTCTGTCTTCCTCCTGACCTTGGCAATTCCTCCTTCAGCCCACCTTTTCACGGCCACTCCTGACCCAAAACAAATACACGAGGTCACTCTCGATTCATTCAGTCGCTGAGTACACAAGCCCTGAGGCCCGCTGTGCGCAGGGCATGGGTGAGGCCGGTGGCGGCCAGCCTGCAGACCGCGGGCATGCACTGGGGGAGCGTTCTCCAAGAATCAGCACATATTTGTCCGGCGGGTGGTAGGTGACAGAAGGATGCTGGGTGACGAGGCTTCAGCTGGAGGCCTGGACATGGGCCGCCGTAGGAGGGAAGCAATGGGAAGCCAGGCTCCGTGTGGACGTGTGTGTTCTGGGGCGCTAGCTACTGCATGTTTTCAGGGAACAAGTAATGATGATAACGATAGCCGTCCCAAGGATGGCTTACGAAGGCAGTGGGAGGACTCTCGTTTCCCCTGTCTGTGATCAGTCTGGTTCTGGCCAATGACATAAGGAGGACGTGTGCCGGGGTGGGAAAGGCCTAAGGAGCCAGCTCTTGATCCTGCTCCTTCCTTCTGCTTGGGAAGACGTGATGTCGGTGCTCTGCAGCCGCCTTGGGCCCATGAGGGAAGGATGGAACAGAAGGAAGACAGAAAGAACCCTCTCCCTCGCTGCCACAGCTGAGCTACCACGCTAACCCAGACACGTCAAGCTTGAGCCTCCTTGTTATGTGGGGCAGTGGAAAGACTTCGCCGTTTAAGCCAGCTTTCGCTGAGTCCTCCATGCCGGACAAACATGTCCCAAACCCCAACACACACAGCCATGCCCGGCGGCTCTTACTTTGGAGAGTAGTTGCAGACGAGGTAGACAGCGTTCTCCCAGACTTCGCCCCAGACGGTCATCCTCTGACAGGTGTTCACGGCACAGCCGACCTTGTTAGTGGTGGCCCAGACTATCTGAAAAGATGACAGCTGTGTGTCACAGCTCGAGAGACAAGGCACATAGGGGGACTGAGTCTGGCCTGGGTACAGTGAGTGCCGCCCTGAACGGGTGTGCAGTCGGGGACTGAAGGAGAGGCACCCATCCCTGACCCCTGGGAGATGGACACGTTTCTTTGAAAGACAGACAAGCTGGGCGCGGTGGCACACGCCTGCAGTCCCAGCACTTTGGGAGGTGGAGATGAGAGGACTGCTTAAGCCCAGGGGTTCGAGACCAGCCTGGGCAACATGGTGAGACCTCGTCTCTACAACAAATCAAAACGTTAACTGGGTGTGATGGCACAGGCCTGCAGTCTCAGCTCTTGGGAGGCTGAGGCAGGAGGATCACTTGAGTCCAGGAGGTCGAGGCTGTGGTGGCTGTGATTATGCCACTGCACTCCAGCCTGGGTGACAGAGTGAGACCTCGACTTAAAATAAATAAATAAACAAAATAAATAATAAAAGAGAATAAAAGACAAACAAAACACACACCATGAAAATGTCCTAGCCACTTTTGGGATATACCACATAGTTGGGATATATCAGGAAGCAAAACAAAGATCCTTGCTCGTTCCTAACACGTTTTTCTTCATGGATCGCCTAATTTCAATACCACATTTTGATACACAAAATAAAATTTAAAAATAATTAACCAGCCAGGCGCGGGAGCTCACACCTGCAATCCCAGCACTTTGGGAGGCCGAGGTGAGAGGACTGCCTGAGCCCACGGGTTCGACAGCCTGGGCAACAAGGTGAGATCGCATCTCTACAATAAATCAAAAAATTAGCCGGGCGTGGCAGCACACGCCTGTAGTTTCGGCTACTCGGAAGGCTGAGGCGGAAGGACTGCGGGAGCCCAGCAGGTCGAAGCTGCGCTGGTTGCGAGGGCGCCTCTGCACTCCGGCCTGGGCGAAAGAGTGAGACTCCAACTCAAAAAAAGCAAAAAGAAAAATCAACCGTAAAAAAAGAAAAGAAAATGTCCCAGCAAGGTGCAATGGCCATGGAAGTTTCCGGTGCTGTCTCGGCTTCTGACCTCGTTGAGACCCAGTAAACATCACCTTGTTCCACCAGCTGCATTCTAAGCACGGATTGGGGGGGGGATCAGGGCAAAAACAGCACGGGGGTCTTACGGGTTGGGCAAGAGCCCCGAAGGCGGGGGGTGGGGAGGGAATGCCGCGGCTTGGGGAGCAGGGCTGGGTCGGGCCGGCCGTGTTACCTGTGTGTAGTGGGTGCACATGGTCCCCGTGCACCGCTCGGGACACCAGGGGTTGCACTCGTGCGGGTAGGGGTAAGTGTAGTCCTTCACCTCGTCGTACCAGGTCTGCACGTGGGAGCTGGGGGAGCGGTACCTGCCGGGCAGAGTCAGAGTCAGCAGGTCACGTCTCGGCCCCGCAAGCCCCGACAGAGACCGCCGCGGCCACACGGTGGGCCAGAGGGGGCGCCTCAGGGGGAGGTCCCCCACTTCCCCCCGGCCCCCGGTCAAGGCGCTCACAGCCAGGACCGTGCCGGGGGCTCCTGCAGGCTCCCGGGTGGCCCCAACACCACCTGCGTGCACGGGAAGTCCTACGTGGCTCTCGACGCGTCCTTTGTGTGTGTACTTCCATATACATTGGGGGACTGACAGGCCACCCGGGAACCCCATCTTTTGCAGACATCATCATCCAAGGCGAAACTTAAGGCGTGAGTACATTTAAAGTCAACATAGCCAGGGCACGGTGGCACACACCTGTAATCTCAGCACTTTGGGAGGCTGAGGTGGGAGGATCGCTTGAAGCCAGGAGTTCGAGACGAGCCTGGGCAACATAGCGAGACGTGGCACACACCTGTAATCTCAGCACTTTGGGAGGCTGAAGTGGGAGGATCGCTTGAAGCCAGGGGTTCGAGATGAGCCTGGGCAACATAGCGAGACCTCATCTCTACCAAAAAAAAAAAAATAATAGCCAGGTGTAGTCCCAGCTACTTAGGAAGCTGAGGCAGGAGGATCACTTGAGCCCAAGAGGTTGAGGCTGCAGCGAGCCATGATCGTGCCACTGCCCTCCAGCCTGGGGGACAGAGTGGGGTGCTGATTCAAAAATCAAAATAAAGTCTATGTAGAGAAAAATGTGAGGTACACGGGAAGAGGGAGGCAGAGAGGACACTCACGAGGCAGGGCAGGGCCTGAAAGGTGGGATAGATCAGCTCTGGGGGACAGGGCAGAAGGTCCCTGTCACCCCAAGAGCAGCCTCCAGCCTCACGCTTTTTTCTCGTCACGCTTGACTCTGTCAGCTGCCGGGGGGCTGAGGACCCAGACACAGAGCAGAAAGCTCGCGCGAGAGAAACCCCTGGGTGTACCGAGCTTTCGGTCTGGGCCACGTCCAAAAAACTTCTTTAGGGTTTACCAGATAGAGCCGCTCTCCTGCCCACCCCCACGAGGAGGTCCAGCCGGACATCCTCCATCCTCCCGGGAAGTCAACGCCTCACGGTCACTGCCCTCACTTCAGCCCGGGTGCCAAGTTGGCCCCACTGTTTTTTTCCCCCCACCCTCCTTTCCTTCTTTCTTTCTGGGTTTGTCTTTGGCTTTGGGGGCACGACCATAGCTTGCCACACTTCCACCTCCGGGGCTCAGGCAATCCTTCCACCTCAGCCTCCCGAGCAGCGGGGACTACAGGTATGCTTGGTTAATTTTTAAAATTTTTTTGTGGAGATAGGAGTCTCACTATGTTGCCCAGGCTGGTCTTGAACTCCAGACCTCAAGCGACCCTCCTGTCTCGGTCTCCCAAATTGCTGGGATTACAGACATGAGTCACCATGCCTGGCCTGTTTTTTTTTTTTCAACCAGGAAAGAAAATAAACTGGACAGAAACCCATGGTCACACCATCACCAGCAAGTGTAAACAGAGTGGTTTCAACGCTAGAAAAGGCCAGCAGGGGCCATGACCACTTGCAAGAGCAATGTGGCCACCAGGCGGTTAGCGGTCTTGTAACAATCACCAGAGCGTAGGCAGTGGACCCAGAGCAAGGGGCAGCGGCCTCTCTCCCCGGGGCCACTTGGGGAGAGTCACGCACACAGTGGGTCTGCGGAGTAGAAGGAAACCCATCAGCCTGTGTCCCAGCAGACACGAGGTCACATGGGCTGCTGGAGCTGGAGCGCTTCCCGCAAGCAAGCTGGCAAAATTCCCCCGGTGGGAGCAGAACCTCGCAACCCTCTGCCCTGTCAGTCCCATGGCCAGGAGTGACCCTCACGAAGCCATCATGGCAGACAAGGCAGAAAACACAACACACAGCCAGGCCGCCAGAGAGAGGTGACCGGACCAGTCTGTCCTGGACGGGCCCTGAGACAGCCTCACGGAACCCTCCTCATGACGACTGAACCGCAGAACATTTTCTGATACTGTGTGGGAAAGAAGAAAAAAAAGATGCCCAAGCTGACCGGGCCACAGTTACAACCACATCAGAATACGTGGGCACGTGGCCAAGTACCACAAGGGAGACCAGAAAAATGAAAAAGGCTGCCTCAGGCTGGTGGAATTCTAGGCCTCCCCCCCTTAGATATTTTCCTTGAATGTTATCATAAGACTGTTTTTAGAAAAAGCAATGTTCACCGAAAAAAAAAAAATCCCGGTGGGGATTTGCCTCCTTCCACTGGGAAGCCCACCCGGGTTTGTCCTGAAAACACACAGATCCAAGGGAAGGAATCTCCCGGCATGAGGGAAGCGAGACCTGGCCCGTTTGAGAGGATATTTAGAGGCCAGCCTGTTTTCGATAAATAGGGCAAAAGGACGCAGATTCTTGGCCCTGGACAAGGCTGAGAATTCGGGACTCGGGGAGGACAGGCTCGTCGGCCGGTCATTGTTTCTGAATTGGTCGTCCGTGGCCGTCCTCCGCTTTCCTCGGGGAGACCGGCCCTCTGGGTGCACAGACACGAATGCCCAGGCTGACCTTGGGAAGGCCAGTGGGCTGCACGCATTAGACACCTGCCAAGCCCTCCTGTGGGGGAGGGGACAAAAGCAGCCCAGGCCAGAAGCAGGTCCGGGAGCAGCAGAGCCACGCCCCCCCCCAGGCTGGGCCCTCAAGAGCAACGAAGCCCAAAGGAAATGGCCCACCAAAGCAAGCAGCTCACCCCAGACCTCCCGGCCAGCAGCACCTGGGGCCCAAGAGCCTTTCTGCGAGGATGGGCGGGACCTCAGTAGACCCCGGTAGTATCCGGTCCAGTCTTCGGCGTCTGGGGTCTGCCAGGCAGGCTCCCAGTCGTCCTGCCAATGACTAAGGAGTGTTCCTGGGCACCGTGCCTCAGTTTCCCCACGTGTTGTTGATGGATGGGTGGTGTCTGTCTCTGTCTCTCTGTCTCTTTTTCTGTCTCTGTCTCTATCTCTGCCTCTCTGTCTCTATCTGTTTCCCTCTGTCTCTGTCTTTCTCTGTCTCTCTGTCTCTGTCTCTCTGTCTCTTTTTCTGTCTCTGTCTCTATCTCTGCCTCTCTGTCTCTATCTGTTTCCCTCTGTCTCTGTCTTTCTCTGTCTCTCTCTCTGTCTCTGTCTCTCTGTCTCTTTTTCTGTCTCTGACTCTATCTCTGCCTGTCTCTGTCCTGTCTGTTTCTGTCTCTGTCTTTCTCTCTGTGTGTGTCTGTCTCTGTCTGTCTGTCTGTCTGTCTCTGTCTCTGTCTCTGTCTCTCTCTCTCTCTCTCTCTCTCTCTCTCTCGGCTTGGCATGGTGCCAGCGCACAAGGTGGGGGGGCACGGCTGCTGGAGAGTGCATGTGGCTCTTACCTGCCCCAGTGGACAGCCAGGTTCTGGCCGAGGGACACCAGCAGCCCAGTGGGCCCATGCTCCCAGATGCACTCGTGGGCCCAGGCTGCCGCGGACTTCTCCAGCTCCTCATCCCAGGTCTGCAAGGGGGAGACGGCACCAGGGGGTCAGGGCAGGGAGGGGCGTCAGGAGCAAACACACAGCGACACCCAGGGCAGCTTGTGGCAGCTTCAAACCACATCTTGCTGGTCTCCAAGGCTGTCCCCAGCACTCCTGCCGGGCCTGTGCCGTGCGGGGACCCTGGGCAGGTCCCTTCTCTCCTGGCCTCAGTGTCTGTGCAGTGGGAGAGAGCCGCACTGAATGGCACATGGCGACCGCCCACACGCCCGTCTCTCCAGGCTCCGGAAGGCCGTCTCAGTCGATGGCGGTGGCTTCCTTTCTTTAAACGCGTGCCACGTACAGGAGGTCCCGACTCTACCCGAATCCTTGCACTGCGTTCTAGGCCTGGGCCTTTGAAGCAGACGTTCTTATTCCCATTTCACAGACAAGAAAATCAAGGCTCGGAGACACAGTGACGTTTTCCCAGGTTCCCACACCGGCCGGTTTCTGAAGCAGGATGTGACCCAGGACTGCTGGCACCTGTGCCCTCTCCTGGAGGCAGGCTACTTGGCTGCCACAGCAGATAACAGGATGCCATTCCCAGGCCAGGGAGGGAGACCCGAACTTACCCGTGTGGTGGGGCCAGGTTCAGAATCCCGGCCTGGGATGGCCGTGAACCCACGCACGTATCCACCCTCAATTTCCTCATCCGCAGAGTGGCACGTGGATATCCCCCACTGTGAGTGTAGCAGGGGAGAGGGAGGTGCCCAGCCCTGGGCCAGACGCAGTGGGGCGCGTCTCACCCACGTCAGCCTTGCTCCGGCCTGCACATCAAGCCGTGGAGGGCTCCCACAGGGGTCTCAGCCCCGCCGGCCTCCCACGCAGCACACAGCAACGCACCAAGGTGATTTCAGTTTAGGGTGATGGAAAGCTCTGAAGAGGGATGGCGGGATGATTGTCCGACAGCGTGAATGTACTCAACGCCACTCAACTGCACTCTTGTAGGCGGGGCACGGTGGCTCATGCCTGTCACCCCAGCAACTTTGGGAGGCCGAGGGGGGAGGATTGCCCGAGTCCAGGAGCTCAAGACCGGCCTAGGCAGGGAGACCTGCCACTTCCCACCCACTCACTCAATAAGTCTGTAGGGAGCCCTTCTTGTGCGCAGGGTCTGGGGACAGATCTGGTGGCTTTGAATCGAGGCATCATGGCTTATGGCCATGTGGTTTGCACCAAGTCCTTTAAAGGTTCACCTCGCTGGGCTTCAGTTTTCTTATCTGCAAAATGGTGCTTATACTCTCATTTTCCAGGATTACTATCGGGTTAAACAGAACAAGTCACAGGGCGTGTGACAGCCGCTTGGCACACAGGTCACAGCCCCCTCAGCCGCTGTGTGGGGGAGACGTGTGTCTCCCAGCAGGGCCGCCCCAGGCCAGTTCTGCCCATGACAAAGTGATCACAGCTTTAAAGAGGCAGATACCAATGGGGCCAGCTTTATCAAAGCGCTTCCCTGGGGTGGGGGACACACAGGTGCATTAGCAAGACAATGCCGGTACCCCTGAAAGGTCAGTGCCCAGTCTCTGAAGAAGACCTGGGTTTTTACAGCCTCTCAGAGCTGAGGGACGACAGTGTGGAGAGGTTCCAAGTCCGGGAAGGAGTGAGCCCAGCAGGGGGTGACTCGGTTCCCTGCAGCTCCCGGACACTGGACCTGGGGGACATGGCGCCATCTTCCACCACACCTGGAAAGCCCATCCCAGGAGTCCAGAAGGGCTGGCCCTGGCTGCCTTGTCACCACTGGCTCCTTCCGCTGTTGGCAGAGGCTGGGGTCAGAGGAGGCTCTGAGAGAATGGAGCGTCAACAGAGAGGTTGGGTAACCTGCCCAGAGCCACGCAGCCTGCAGAGGGTAGAACCGGGAACTGGGCCGGTTGACTGGGTGAGACACTGTGTCCCTTGGGCCCCCGTCTGGCATCCAGCTATGTTCCAGGGAGAGTAGAAAGGAGAGTCTGCACCCCAAGCCCCAAAGAAATCTACCCTACAACGTTGGCACGAGCTGCTCGGTGCATGCACCTCTGGAAAGACAGCCTGTGTTTCCCCTAAAATTTGCACAGCCCCCTGGACAATCTCTTGAGGGAAAAAAACGGTTTCAAGACACATTCCCCAAGGCTGGCCCTGCTCAAAGGGCTCTGCCCACACGGAAGGCCACTCGCCCCGGTCCTTTGGATGCCCACAGCTGTCAAATCCATGGTGAGAATCCACGGTGAGTCCTGGGAAGGAGGGGCGTGGTGGTCTGCAGGGGACAGGGCTCGGTGGGACCAGTCTAAGAAGGGGTGTAGCCGTGCCCATGGGGCAGCTTCAGGGGCTGCTGGTGACCTCTCTGGCTGAAGCAAAGTGAGAGAAACAAGTTGTCCAGACAGACCAGGGCTCTGACCGGAGGCCTTGAATGCCAGGCAAGGAGCAGCTAGGCTTCATTCTGGCCACAAAGGTCCCAGGAGGTTCCGGAGCAGGAGGAAGACTGGGAGGAAGTGAGGTTTAGGGAGCATCATGTGATGGCGGGATTCAAGCTGGGCCGGAAAAGGGTGCAGTGGTGCATGCCTGTCATCCCAGCACTTTGGGAGGCCGAGGAGGGAGAATTGCTTAAGCCTAGGCGTTTGAGAACAGCCCAGGCAGCATAGCTTGACCTCATCTCTACAAAAAATAAAAAACAAGCCGGGTGTGGTGGTGCACACCTGCAGTCCCAGCTACTCGTGAGACTGAGGCGAGAGGATGGCTGGAGCCCAGGAGGTCGAGGCTGCAGTGAGCCATGATCGTGCCACTGCCCTCCAGCCTGGGCGACAGAGTGAGACTCTGACTCAAAAAGAAAAGAAAGAAGGAAATTAAGCAAGAAATGGGCTGGAAGAGGGCGGGGTGGGGGCAGTGAACACCAACCTGGGGTGAAATTGCCAGATAACCCAGGGCTGACAGGACCGGGATGAGGAGGGCATGGGAAATGCTGAAAAAAGAGTCTCTGGCACCGGCTGGGGGTAAACTAGACACGGAGTGAGTGGCTGAGAGCAGAGGCCCCATCGTCAGTGAAACCCCAGTTCAAATCCCAGTGGTGCTCAAGGGCCTCAGTGTCCCAGTCTACAGAATGGGGAAAACAGCAGCCCCTGCCTCACAGGGCCGGGAGAATGGGCGATGCTACGGTCGGAGAGTGTCCACGCTGAGTGTGGTGGGCTCACAGCACACCTGTCATCCCATCACTTTTGGAGGCCGAGGCGGGAGGATTGCCTGAGTCCAGGGGTTCGAGGCCAGGCTGGACAACATGGCGAGACTTCATCTCTACAATAAGTCAAAAAATTAGCCAGGCATTGTGGTGCGCTCGCCTGTACTCCCAGCTACTTGGGAGGCTGAGGTGGAAGGATCGCCGGAGCTCGGCAGGTTGAGGCTGCGGCGGCCA